CATTGTTGCTATTTAACAATAGTAATAATTGTTATTATAATAACTAAATTATTATTAAAACTAAATAAAATTTAGTTATTTTATATTTAGCTAAATTATCATTATTATTAAATTACTATTATAATAATTAAATGAATGCTCTGATGCTGCGTTTCATTTATGAGGGGCTGAGGCGGCTTCAAGTCTGGCTTTTATGCAGCTTTGCATCTTTACACTGAATTTTAAGCCTTAACTCAGATGTGTAAAGACGCCTTGTGAGCACCAGAGGGAGCTGTTTACCATCTTAACTAGATTTACTACCAAACTTCATATTCAGTATCAACCAAACAAACCGAACTCTGCTGTCAAATGCACTCTAAACACTGCAGAGTTCAGCACTGTTGAAGGTGTGTGTGTGTGTGTGTGTGTGTGTGTGTGTGTGTGTGTGTGTGTGTGTTTGCGCAGGTGGAGGCGTGTGTGCCGCAGGTGAAGCCGCTGCAGGAGCAGATGGTGGTGGAGGAGGGCGAGCTAGAGGGAGACACTCTGGATCCTCAGACGGGTCTGTTCTACCGCTCGTCTCAGCCCAAACCTGCAGCCGGCCCGTCTGACACGCCCACTTCCTCTAAGAGGGTGGAGCCTCTCACGCCCCGAGTCTCCGTACAGAGAGCTGCTGCGTCTGCGTCTGTGGCGCTCGTCTCCTCGAACCCTCCACACAAACCGCAGCTGCCCAAACTGCAGCAGGCGCCCTCCTCACACCACCGGCCCAACACACACACGCAGCTGTCGCAGCCGCCGCCGCTGCAGGCGCATCACCCCGTGTGCTCCAGCAAGACTCCCAGCAGCAGCCAGGTGAGGCCAGCGCTGATATTGATCCGTCTCATCCACTGATGTAGATCCTCGGGTGACCGTTAATGGTCACATGACATGCATCTAAACAGATAAAACATTTCATCTTTAGTTTTATTTTTTTATTATTATTTTTTTTAATTTTACATTTACATTTTTATAATTTTGTTCATTATTAGTTTTTCAACAATGATAATTGTGACAATTATGATAACTATATTGATAATTGATAACTATTGACAATTATGACTATGTAATGATGACAATAGCTATGATGATAACTGACACTAACTAATATGACAACTATGATGATAATTATAACGATAACTGTGATGGTAACTATAACGATAACTATAACAACAACTGTGATGATAACTGTAACGATAACTGTGATGATAACTGTATTGTTAACTACGACGGTAATTATAATGATAAATAAAACCTTGTCTATATATCAGCATTCAGACCTGTGGACGATAACTTTGTTTATTAAAACATGCATTGCAGTTTTGTTGTCTGCAGCTTTAAATGCTTGAGTCATTACCATTATAGTCGTGATGTGGATGTCGTTATTTTCACAGAATATGAACGATAATTAAAACTTCGCTGTTGTCGTGGTGTGGACTCACTCTTAGAGTGATTGTTTATGACGGTGCTGGTTATGGTAATCGTTCCTGCAGTGACGGTTCTCGGTGTGTCTCAGCTGCAGCAGCCGATCATCACGCAGGGCGCAGCCGTCACGAAGATCACGTTCGGCGCTCATCAGTGCCCCCCGGTGTCCAGCAGTGGCGAGGCGTCCGTCAAGCTCCAGCCGGAGTCCAGCTCCAGTCACACAGCGCCAGAGAAGACCTCCGACATCCTGAAGATCTCCATGATGGAGGCGGAGATCGAGCCCATGGTGGTGGACTCGTCCAGCGACTGCGGCCCGCTGACCAAAACACCGAGCGCCTCGCCGCTCATCAGCAGCTCCAAACAGACGCTCGGCCACGTCAAGAGCAAAGACCTGGACATCATACAGGTGCTCCTCTCACGCTTCACTTCTGTAGAGCTTCATACAGTACAGATCGTTTCAAAGCAGCTTCACAGGAAAAGAACAGGATCAGTGATGCAGACTTCATCACATATGACTCCAACTCAGGTCAGCTGCTCTAGCAGCTCTACTGAAGACAATAGTGTCGTTATTCAGATCAAGGTAGTGTCAGTGCCATCAAATCAATCATATTACTGAATATCAAGTGTATTTAGGCCCAGCTAAGCAAGCCAAAGGTGGCAATAGTAAGAAACCCAAACTCCGTCGTTCTTCTCCAGAACATCTGTTAGCGTACAGTTCTGTGAAATCTGTTTTATATTTTTCCCAAATTCTGTTATTTATTTTTTTTCTAAATAACATTTTTTCTGTTTTCATTTTCTGGATTCCATTTTAATGGTTAAATCAAATTTTAAAAATCAAAAAGCTTGTCTAATTAATTGAATTCATAAAAACAACTTAATTTATTCTTTTTTTTTATTCATAATAAGGCATGAATGCATAAAACATTTTAATTAACTGTTTAATCAAACGAAAATTAAACTATTTTTAATTCTTTAATTTTAAATATTACATTTTTTGGCAAACAAAGTGCTACACAACAGAGGTTTACTGTTAAAATTAAAACATGATGAAAAGTGTGATTATTTCTTTAAAAAAAAAAGTTTTAGTAATTATTTTATTAGTAGTCATACTATTAGAATTATTATTACATTGAGAAATACAATAGTAATATATTTCTGTCATAATTTCTTCAAGTTGAACCAAACTTTTTTGGCGGGTTGTAGTGCAGATCTTTGTGTTTCAGTGTGTGTAGTAGAGCAGTGTTTCCCAACCTTTCTTTAGTCGCGGCACCCTTTGGAAATTTTAACAAGCTTGTGGCACCCTACAAAATTAATTTTGTCACAATATTTGAATTTCTAACTTCGATATGATCATTTGAAAAGTATAAATATTCGGTACAAGAGGGAAGAACTGCAGAATATAATGTCATACAGATATTTTTTATATTATTAAAAAAAAATTGTCCATCAATGGTGGCAATCAGTAGGCTAATTTCTAATGAAGAGA